TCTAGGACCTAGAGATTCCTAGAAAGAACATATTAATACAATCAGTGAATAATCAAATCTGCAGATGCGGAGGGATGACTGTATTATTATTATTTTTTACCTCACTGTGAGGGGTCATGAATAAGAAATTGTGTGTGTTTGTGCATGGTGTGATGAGGAAACCAATACCAGGATCCTATGCATGTTTTCAAAGGTTTGCAATCATTATCCATCCTCCTCCTCCTCTTCCTCCTTCTTTGCAGCTGGCCCTACCATTAGGAATAGCCAGTGTGACCTAGTGTTTTGAGTGTTGGACTACAACTCTAGAGACCAAGATTCAAATCCCAGCTCAACCATGAAGCCTGCTGGGTGCCCATGGGCAAGGCACATGCTCTCAGCCTCAGAGGATGGCCATGGCAAAGGCAAACCTTCTCTGGACAGAGCTTGCCAAGAAAACCCCATGGGTTACCATAAATTGGGAAAGACTTGAAGGCATACAACAATAACAAGAAGAAGAAGAAGAAGGGGTCTTGAATAACGGATTGTGTGTGTTTGTGTGTGGTGAGGTGAGGTGACCAACACCCCAATTCTATGCTTCCCCCCATGCTTTCCCCTCTATTATTATTATTATTATTATTATTATTATTATTATTATTATTATTATTATTATTATTATTATTATTATTATTATTATTATTATTATTTGCAGCTGGCCCCACCGTTAGGCATGGTGAGGCTTTTGCCTCAGACTGCTGGTACTGGGAAATGCCAGCAAAGATTTGTTGTGCCTTCAAGTTGTTTCCAACTTATGGCAACCCTAAGGTAAGCTCAACCTATCATGGGGTTTTCTTGCCAAGATTGGTTCAGAGGAGATTTGCCATTGCCTGAGGCTGAGAAAGTGTGACTTGGCATTGCAGGGGGAACTGTTCGCCACCTATGGCCTGCACTACACCTACTAAGCTAGCCTGGCTCCTGTCAGTTGTGGGGAAGGATGCAGTTTGCCATTATCAGTGCAGAAGAGAGAGTCAACTGCCAGTCTTATTGGCTTTTGTGCATGGGAAAGTTGGAGAGGGGAGGTTGTCTTGCTGCACTTTAGGCAGCAAAATATTTTGGGCTGGCCTTGAGTCTGATGGAGTTTTAAGAGAACAAGTGAGATTACAGCCTTGGGCTTTTTCTATCAGTAGGCAATCCACCATTTCAAAAGTGTCTTTTATTGGGAGAAAGAGATAAATGACCTAATATCAAAAACTCAGGTTGATGAATAGAAGCAATTTAACATTATTAGGGAACAAGGGATAGTCTGATAAATCAGTACAATATTCTCTCAAGATACAATCTGTTCCCCAGCTTTATTTCATCATCTCTCCCACCCCCCTTTAAAATAAAACATTGTCATCACCTGGCGATGGCTGAGCAGTACAGATGAGCAAACAAGGTAATAAAACTTTACTGGTGTTTGACTACAAAACCTGTGGGTGGAGCAGGGGAGACTTCATCTAGTACATGATGGAAGTACATGATCTAGTATCAAATGCAGCTATTTGTGTTCTCTGCATTATGGTCTGTTCTGGTTGTGAATGCAGGATTACCCAAAGCACTCCTTTTGGCTTCCTAATGATGTGAGCCTACCAGTTTGTGCTTGAGCCAGTGGCAAGTCTGTTTATCTGTGCTTTCAGTCCATGTACTCATTCACGTCTACAAAATCTCCAGAACAGATCCATTTTTCTTGGCCCAGGACACATATCCCAGTTTCAGTCTATAGATTCTGTTCTAACAGATGACAAAACTTTACATTATCTGGACCCAAGAGAAGTACAAACATTATACCTGTATTGTAATGCTAGAATGGGGTAGTGGTATGAGACAGTACCAGATAGCCAAGGGACAGCTCCTAACTCACATGACAAGGTGAAAGCCAGAGAAATACAGTACCAAAAACCTCCCTGTTACTTGCAAAGATTTATTTATTTAATGTTTATTTAAAGTATTTCTGTCTGCCAACCATCAGCAAGGTCTCCCAAGGCAAATGGATAAACAAAAACCAATGAAAACAATACAGGGACAATGCAGACTGGGTTTCTCTAGGTGAGAATGCAAACACCTTTTGAGCGTCACAACGTTCTTTTTTGAGAGAGAGAGAGAGAGAGTTAAAAATAACTCCAAATGTATTAGCAGTTTCATTTCAGTTATAACTTTACAATATGACCCTGGCATGCTGAGTAATTGATAACAACACACACACACACAAACCCTTGGATGTTACAGGATTATTATTTTTTTAATGTGAGAAGCCATGGTTTACTACAATTAGAAAGTCAGAAGGAAATTTAAACTTCCTCGGGCCACGTACTCAGAAACTCACGTATTGTCTCCTAAAGCACTTTACCTGCCTTTCACTGCTGACTGGATGGGCATTACCACAGCACTAAGTAAGTAACAGATTTTGTAGCGATTTACACTCTTGGGGTGCATCCTTAGCAGCGTAGGTTGGCTCTACACTTTATACAGAAAATATGATTGCTAAACTGACAATAGCGCTTCTTGCAGCAAATGCTTAAAGTGAGCTTGTACATGCATCTGGAAACCATGGCCTAATCCTCTGACTACAATGATAGACTTACAGATAGAGAAGACCTGTGTACAAATTCCTATTTAGCTATGCCAGGACAAGTCGCTTCTCGGTCTAACCAACCTCACAGGATTGTTGTGTGGCTAAAGTAAATACTTTGGATAAAGCATGTACCACATTTATAATGAAAATATGCCTGTAGGGCTTGTTGAAGTGGGCAACATTTCTACATGGCATTTCAGTTGTTTGTAGGGTTTAAATTCAAGAGAAGTTGTTGACACTGCTTTAGTATATCTGATTCCCACAGCATATGCATATACATGTATATTTGGGCAGGCTGTTTCACCCAAGGGGATAGGTCAAGACAAATTGAGTTGTTCACCCAGCTGGTTTTTCATAGGACAGATTACTTCTCTTGGATAAATCTACTAGATCTTAGTGTAGTTTACCTGCCCCAGAACTAGAATAGGATTATGGAAAGCTGTCATTCTGATGGCCTTTCCACTATCAATCTCAGGCACTTTTCCACTCTAAGTATGCATAAAGCATAATCTCCAAGTGATGTCCCGAAGAATCATTCTTGCCAGGCAATGCATAACAATACTGAAATTGATGAGATCAGAAGCTATCAAAAGGTCCAGCAGAACTATCAGGGTACACTCCACCTGCACAGTTTCCAGATCAGGGGCAAATGTGTTTCAGTTCCATAACCAGGCTTGTGGAATCATGCTGAACAGGTTTAAAGGGAAAAGCCTTTTACCTTGCTCCAACATGGGTTGATATTTAATTATCAAGACACATAAGTATTTTTTTCTGTAGCTACCCCCCTCACAGTTGTGAGACTCCCTCTTAGGAGGAGGTTGGTCTCTCTTTTTTGCCTCTGTTGCCAGGTGAACAATTTTGTTCAAACACTGCTTTTATTAACCTTGGTATTTTAAGAAGACTGGGGTATTTCATCACTTCTGCTTTTTTATGAGGGAAGTAATTGTTTTTAAATTGGTGATGGTT